AAACAAACAAACAAACAAACAAAAATAATAATAATAAAAATAAAACAGAAACCAATATATACTTACTAAGGGGTTTCCGTAAAACTCTCTCTCAAATGCCCAGGTATTAGTGATGGGGGCTCATTCCTTCTCAAAGGCACCTGATTCCCAACAGCTTCCCTACATGCAGGGAACAGCACTGCCCTGGGCCTCTTCTAGTCCTTGTCATGATACTGCTCAGAGTCTTGAGTGGAGCGCCAGCTCCCACATCAGATCTTCTCTGGGGTTCAAGGTCTTGTTCCCTCAACTGTCCCTAGAAGGGGAGGTCCATGTGCAGTGCCTGCCCTTGCTTGAAAGCTCTGAGTGTGCCCGGCACGGTGGCTCACGCCTGTAATCCCAATACTTTGGGAGGCTGGAGTGGGCAGGTCACCTGAGGTCAGGAGTTCGAGACCAGCCTGGCCAACATGGCGAAACCCCGTCTCTACTAAAAATACAAAAATTAGCCAGGCCTGATGGTACAACGCCTGTAATCCCAGCTACTCGGGAGGTGGAGGCAGGAGAATCACCTGAACCCGGGAGGCGGAGGATGCAGTGAGCCCAGATCGTGCCATTGCACTCCAGCCTGGGTGACAGAGTGAGACTCTGTCTCAAACAAAACAAAACAAATATCCTGGAAGTTGTTGGGCACAGAGCTAGACAGGGACCATCACTTCCCTTCACCTGGACTCTAGGCCTCCACTAATGCAGCCTTGCCATGTGGCCTCAGGCAAGCCCTGCCCACCGAGGATTCCGGGGTTCTCAGTGTGCCCATTGCTGCTCCTAGCAGCAGCTTTGGGAGGGGCACGGCATCCCCAGAGGCCCTGGTCATGAATGGGGCAGCCAGGCCGGGGGACGCACCTGGGCAGTGAAGCCATTGTAGCAGGCGAACCAGACCTGCACCATCATGCTGGCCATGGTCTTATAGAAGAAGTAGCGCAGGAACTTGCAGATCCGCACGTAGGACCAGCGGCCGTGCACCAGCAGGAGGCGCTGCAGGAAGCAGAACTGGCCCAGCACGAAGTCGCTGTTCTGAACAGCCTGCATGCCCTCCTGGCCGGCCAGCCCCACGCCCACGTCCGCGGCT